GGCCTCGCCCCCGGTTGGAGCCGTGCGCGCCTGACTGCCCCGGGGGCGCACGGCGCGGCGGGGGCGGCGGTGACGGTTGCCTGCGCGCCGGGAGGAGGGGCAGAAGCCCTTGGAGGGGCCCGTGCCAAGCTGACGGCCTGGTGCTGGGTGTGCGGACGCCGGGTCCCGTCGGGCCGGGCAGGGGAGGCCCCCGGGCTCCGGGTTCCTTTCCCCGAGCGCACCCCCGCTTCCCGCAGTCTCCAACGAGGTGCCCGAGCACCCGTGCGTGTCCCCCGTGTCCAATCACGTGTACGAGCGGCGGCTCATCGAGAAGTACATCGCCGAGAATGGCACGGACCCCATCAACAACCAGCCGCTCTCCGAGGAGCAGCTCATTGACATCAAAGGTGCCAGCCCGGCCGGGGCGAGCCGGGGGCGGGCCGGGGCTCGCTGCGGCTCCTCACCGCCGCCTCCCCTGTCTTGGCAGTTGCCCACCCGATTCGGCCCAAGCCCCCCTCGGCCACCAGCATCCCAGCCATCCTGAAAGCCCTGCAGGATGAGTGGGTGAGCTCCCGGGAGAGCGCGGGCCTGGAGGGTGATCGGGTCTCCTCCCTCCCTTCCGTCTCTGTCTGTCCCTGCTGGGCAGGGAGCCCAGGGCCTCCTGCGTGCTGGCCAGCCCTCTCCGCGTGAGCTTTGCCCCCGCCACTGTTGAGCAGGGTGTCGGCACAGGAGGTGCTGGCAGTTGAAGTCACACAGACCAGGTTCCTGACCTGGCTCGGTGCTTCTGACTGTGCGTCCGTTGCGTTGCTCAGTCTGGGTCCCGGCTTTTCTGACTGGGCCCGTAGACTAGTGCCCTTCTCAGGCTCTGAGTGGGAGGGTAGCGTGAGGCTGTGACACAGGGATTTTCTTCTCCTGGCTGAGAGTGGCTCTGGTCTTGTGTCTGCGGCGTCCTGGGAAGTGCTGAGGGGTGGGTGAGAGCTGGCTCCCACCCCTCTCGGCCTGGTGCTGGCGTGGGGTCGGAGCTGCAGATTGCCTGCCGCCCAGTTCGGGGTCGCCCCCATGGCCCTCGGGTCCCTGGTGTGAGTCCTGGCATGGGAGGACAGCGCCCACCTCGCCCTCAGCGGGTCCGTCCCTTGCACAGGACGCCGTGATGCTGCACAGCTTCACCCTGCGCCAGCAGCTGCAGACCACCCGCCAGGAGCTGTCCCATGCCCTGTACCAGCACGATGCCGCCTGCCGCGTCATTGCCCGGCTCACCAAGGAGGTCACTGCTGCCCGAGAAGGTACAGCCTGCTCCTGCCCCACGCTGGGCCGCCTGGCTTCCCTCCCTCTCCTTTCTCACATCACTCTTCCTCCCAGCTCTGGCGACCCTGAAGCCCCAGGCTGGCCTCATCGTGCCTCAGGCCGTGCCCAGCTCGCAGCCCAGTGTCGTGGTGAGTGAGTGTCCCCGCCACCCTCGCGTGCTCTAGGTTTGCCGTGGCCTACTTAGCCGGTACCCCACACACCACTTTTGCAGCGCAGGGCTTTCACAGTGAGCTACATCCTACCTCTGTTTTAGAGTTTTATGTTTTGGGCCTGGGGATTTAGCTCAGCGGCGAAGCGCCTGCCTGGCAAGCGCAAGGTCGTGAGTTTGATTCCTGGTACGAGAAGAAAAACAAACAAAAAAATTTTGGGGTGGGGATTTAGCTCAGCAGTGCAGTGCCTGCCTGGCAAGTGCAAGGTCATGAGTTCGATTCCAGGTACCAGAGAAAAACCAAAAAAAAAAATAGAGTTTTATGTTTTGAAGTAGGGCTTGACTAGGTTATTGAATTGCCCAGGCTGGGCTGGAACTTGGCATTCTTCTGCCTCAGCCTCCCAGACCACTGGCACTAGAGGCATGCACCATGGCTTCCGGCTCTGGCTCTCCTTTCTGGGTGTCTGGTGTTCTTGCCTGTCCAGCCTCACCTCTCTCTTCCACAGGGTGCAGGCGAGCCTATGGATCTGGGTGAGCTGGTGGGAATGACTCCGGAGATCATCCAGAAGGTATGTGGCGGTCACCTGGGGTCGTGTGTTCTGATGCTGTCACTTAGCAGCTCTTCCACCTGTGCTTGCTGCTGCTGTTGTTTGCCCTGCTGTGGAACTAAGGGCCGGAGTCCCCAGGCTGAGGGTTTTCCCGGGAAAGGTCCAGTTACTGGTCGTGCAGCTCCGAGCTCTCTCTGTCACGGGAGTTCTGTGTGGGTTTTCACTCACTGCTACGTGTTTTTCTGCTCCGAGGGGTCAGCCAGGGCTCGAGTCTGTGTCCCAGAAGAGGCAGAGCCTGAGACAGTTCCTGAGGGCAGGGCTGGCTTCCGGCACCCGTCCATGGTCAAGGCCGGGTAGCCTGTGTCACCCCTGTGACCTGGGCAGGTGGCTTGGTCTCCTTAGCTGTGAGATAAGGGCAGGAGCGCCTCCTGAGGTCGAGGTGGAGGTGAAAGCAGCTAGCGCAGAGCCCGGCGTTGCCAGCGGTGGCTGCACAGGCGTGGGCGCCATGGGCGTCCTGCGTGCTGCCTGTGTGAGGTGCATCTCCCGCTGGGTCTCCCTCCTCTCTTTCCAGCTGCAAGACAAGGCCACGGTGCTGACTACAGAGCGGAAGAAGGTGGGTCCCCCTGTGGAGCCGGACTTGAGAGCGCTGGTCCCGTGGGAAAGGGTGGCCGGACCGGGGCTCATTGGCTTTCGGGGGCTTTGAATTCCAGAGAGGAAAGACAGTGCCCGAGGAGCTGGTGAAGCCGGAAGAGCTCAGCAAGTACCGGCAGGTGGCATCGCACGTGGTGAGTGCGGGGCCCAACCTCAGCTTTGTGGGGTGCTGTCCAGGGCTTGGGGCACGCTTTGCCAGCTAAGTTGTTCGGGCTGCTCTTGCACACCTGCTCAGGTTTCCGCAGAGCCCTGAGGGGTCACCACACTGGCTACAGAAGTCTGTTCCCTGGCTGGGGGTGGCGGGGAGGAGCTGTCAGCCACAGCCTGGCCCCGGGGGCTGCTGACCAGCTTTGCCGGGGCTCTCTCTGGAAAGGGGCTGCACAGCGCCAGCATCCCTGGGATCCTCGCCCTGGACCTCTGCCCCTCCGACACCAACAAGATCCTCACCGGTGAGGCGGGGCCGGGGGAGGGGCGCCTCGTCCAGTGCCTTGAGCTGGGTGGCCCGGCTCAGACCTGTCTCCTCTGGGTCTCCTCCAGGTGGGGCGGATAAGAACGTGGTCGTCTTCGATAAGAGCTCCGAGCAAATCCTGGCCACCCTCAAAGGCCACACCAAGAAGGTCACCAGTGTGGTGTTCCACCCATCCCAGGTGAGGGTCCTCGGGCGGGCGCTTGCGGGGCTGTCTGGAGTTAGGTGTGTCCTTTATCGGGTCCCTCAACAGTGCCCTTCAAGCCAGGGGCAGAAGGAAGCGCAGTTTGATGAAAGCCTTTTCCCTGAAATGTTTAGTATTTTTGTTTTTTTTTTTTTTTTTTTTTTTTTTGTACCGGGAATTGAACTTAGTACCTTGCACTTGCCAGGCAGGCACTTGTGCCACTGAGCTACATCCCTGGCCATGAAATGTTTAATATTGGGGGAAAATCTGAACAGCCTTCATAACGTAAACCATAGGCTGGCGTGGTGGCTCACCTCTAATCCAGCACTTGGGAGGCTGAGGCCAGAGAATCACTGAATTTAAGGCCAGTCTGGGCTACATACTGAGTTCAAGGCAGCCTGAACTATGTAGCAAGACCCTGCCCCCGCCAAAAAAATGAATAGTAATGCAAACCACGGAGAGTTAAGTTCGGTGGTGCAGGCTGCCAGCCCCGTGGGACAGGCAGCGAGGTGAGTTTCCAGGTCTTTAGGTGGAGGGTGCTCCGTAGGGATGAGCATCTCCCGTCTCCCAGTCTGCCAGGACGGCCGCCTTCCCTGGCCTCCGGAAGTGAGGAGCAGAATACTGGGGCAGCTTTTGGTGAATCAGTCGTCATTCACGGGGAAGGTGCTGTTTCCTGGTTCACTTGGTGTTCATGGTCCTGTCTTCTACGAAAACGTCCTGACCACAGACGGGTTTCGGAGTTTTTATTATGACAGTCAGCACAGCTCATGCGTCCGTGACGCCGTGAAAGTTCTGCTCTGTCCCAATCTCCCAGAAAGTCGCTTCCCCCTCGAGTCCAAGCATGGGGTTCGAGGCCCAAGAGTGTTCCTGCTGCGCTGTCCCCTCTCTTGACCGGTGGCTTTGTGTGTGGAGGTGACATTGAAGGTTCTGCCTGCTTGGCCTCTTTGCTCTGGTCCCGGCATTGTGATGGGCCTTGAGCGTCGTAGTTCACCTTTTTCCCACGAGGTGGCGCGCCTGCCTGCCTTGCAAACAGTGCAGCCCTTAGCCTGCCTCACGACCCACTGTGTGAGAAGCAGCTGCTGTGGAGGCGGCCATCCCCGCCTGTCTCCTTCTGTCTTGACGCTCTCCCTCCGGGCTCTCCTTTCAGGAGCTGGTGTTCTCAGCCTCCCCAGATGCCACCATTCGGATCTGGTCGGTCCCCAACACCTCTTGCGTCCAGGTGGTGCGGGCCCACGAGAGCGCCGTTACTGGCCTGAGCCTCCACGCCACCGGCGACTACCTCCTGAGCTCCTCCGACGACCAGGTATGGCCGCCGGCTCGGGCACTGCATGAGGGGGCATGACGACGGTCGGACGCGGCCTGGCTGACTCCCGTCTTCCCTGTGCAGTACTGGGCGTTCTCGGACATCCAGACGGGCCGCGTGCTCACCAAGGTGACGGACGAGACCTCCGGCTGCTGTGAGTGCTGGTCTGTCCTGGAGCCGGAGCTGGGCCTGTGCCAGGCGCGGTCAGCAGGCCGTCGGATGCTCTCCGCCCGCCAGGGTGCTCACCAGCCGCCCTTCCTTTCGCAGCTCTCACCTGCGCACAGTTCCACCCTGACGGGCTCATCTTTGGAACAGGAACCATGGACTCCCAGATCAAGATCTGGGACTTGAAGGTAGGGGGCAGGCCTGGCCCAGGGTGCTGGGGTGGACCGGGCATGGACGTGGTTCGGGCCCTGGGCGCCGTCACCCTTCCTGGAGGTGGGAGCTGGGGCGTGCGTCCCATGTGATGGCTGTGGCGCCTGCTGTTCCCCTGACAGGAGCGCACCAACGTGGCTAACTTCCCCGGCCACTCGGGCCCCATCACCAGCATCGCCTTCTCCGAGAATGGCTACTACCTGGCCACAGCGGCTGACGACTCCTCCGTGAAGCTCTGGGACCTGCGCAAGCTGAAGAACTTCAAGACGCTGCAGCTGGACAACAACTTTGAGGTGGGCTCCTGCGCCTTTCTGTCCCCAGCGGCCCCGGTTGCCTTCCACTGCTGCCCCTTTAGTGTGACTGCTCTCCGGTTTGCAGGTGAAGTCCTTGATCTTCGACCAGAGCGGCACTTACCTGGCACTAGGGGGCACAGATGTGCAGATCTACATCTGCAAGCAGTGGACGGAGATCCTGCACTTCACAGGTAGCGCCGGGCAGGGTGCCGGGAGGGTGGAGCGTGGGAGGGTGGGGCACGGGCAGGATGCTGCCGGGCTCGAGGTGAGGGTGGCCATGCTGTGTTGTCGCGGAGCGTGGCTTCCTATTGGCCTGTCTGTGTGAAGAAGACCGGACTTACAGTGGGCCTAGGGAGCAGGCCTAGGACTGGAGCGGGACATGGGCTCTGGGCTGCACCCCAGCCTGGCCGAGCCCAGCCCCAGCTTCCCTCAGCACGGAGCTGCTGCCTCCTGGCGGGTGCAGCAGGCCGGTGCTGTCCAGAGCAGATGCTGGTCCCTGGGCGCAGGGGAGGGTGTGCCTGGGCCGCAGGAGTGGAGCCCTGGCTGTGCGGCTCATGACCCGAGGTTTCTGTGGAACGGCAGTTGGGGTGTGCCGGAGGCTCCACATGTAACCCTGCGATGCCCAGGCATTGCCCGCATCCCTGAGAGGTGGCACGGCCTTGTCTGCCTGCTACACTCTGCGCTGTGTGGCCCAGTGTCCTGGGCTTCTGGGGCTTCCCTCTGGAGCCCGCCTGGGGGTGGGCGTGGCCTCAGGCTTGTGAGTGCCAGCTGATGCCTGAGTCTTACGCTGCTACTTATCTCTGCAGAGCACAGTGGCCTGACCACGGGCGTGGCCTTTGGGCACCACGCCAAGTTCCTGGCATCCACGGGCATGGACCGCAGCCTCAAGTTCTACAGCCTGTAGCGGCGCCGCCAGGCTGGGCGGCTCAACAGCGGGGTAGTTGGGGTGGGGCGGGCGGCAGGGGCAGCGCGGGTGGGACGCTCACTGTGTCTTTTCACTCTGGGCCGGGGGGCCCTTGGCAGCGTGGGCCACTCCCATCCACAAGGCCCCAGTTCGCGGGGTCAGGTCCTGCAGCCCCGGGGGGAGAGTCCTGCAGGTTTTGTAAGCAGTGATTTAGTTTCATTAAAAAAAGAAAACGCACAGGCGCCTCCGCGTGTTGGGTGCTGGGCTGCACGGTGGATCTAGCTGGGCCTCAGGTGCGCAGGCTGACGGGGCATCGGAGCCTGGCGTCTCCCTCGGAGCAGTGGCTGGAATCAGGAGGAAGACACCAGCCGAGACACCAGCCGTGGCAGCGGTGGCCGGGTGGCTGTGAGGTGGGGGTGCAGCTTGGATCATCTCTGCCTTCCATAAGAGCCGTGGGGGCGGCGCTGAGTGAGAGGCGGGTGAGGAGCCTGTGGGCCAGGCTGCCCTCGTACCTGGCTCGTTGTTGGCTTTCTGCCTTTGAAACAAGTTCCCATTAAGCCACAGTTTTCCAGCCTGGGTTTGAACTTGGAAACCCATCCTCCTGCCTCAGCTTCCCAGGTGCTAGGATTGCAGGTGCCTGCCACCTGAAGGAGTTCCCTTCAGACGGGGTTTGCATCTGCTTCTGCTGGGAGCCTGGGGGTCACGATCATCTGGGTCGATTTGAATTCTGCCCTCTGGGTTTCCCCAGGTGGAGCTTCTGCCTTGGTCTAAACCCGGGGCCCTCTGACAGGACAGAGGAGGTCTGGGTCCCCAGGGTGGCTTCAGCCCATGGCACAGATGGTGAAGGCTGGCCCTGGCCACCCACTTTCTGGCGGTGGGCTCCTCCACTCGCCCTGCGTGGGCCCTGACCCCAGGAACCCCAGCCTTCTCTTGCTGGCAGCCCCTGTTTGCCTGGGAGCAGAACTCCTGGTCCCCAGGGTTCTGAGGAGGCGCCCAAAATAGAAGCAAGTTTCACTTCCCAGAGTCTGCTCATGTTTCTGCCCCGCCCCGCAGTGCCTGTGTGGCTCCAGTGACGTGAGCACCCGTGCTGGTGTCCACTGACCTGGTGTCCAGCTGTGTGCTCTGAGGGCCGAGCTGGTGTTGCTGTGTCCCCTCTCCGCCCGGGACAGGTGCCGCCTTCGAGGTCGCTGCGGAGTCCCAGGCGGTGCCTGCCTGCTTCAGGGTCTGCGTCCCAGCGCTGGAGCCCTCCCCTCCATCCTGGCGAGCTGGGCCTCTGCACCCTGCCACAGGAGGGGTTGTGGGTGCTGTGAGAGTGCGGAGTGGGACCCCTGGGGCTCGGCTGCTGCAGAGGCAGGAAAAGAGCCCGGTGGCCCTGAGCAGTGCCGCTTCCTGCCACAGTCGCGGGTGGTTTACTGTCGGTGGCATTGGGCTGACTCGGCTCCTCGTGGCTTTTCCCGCCGTGCAGCCTCAGACCAGCCTGGAGTCCAGGAAAGCGCCAGCTGGGAGAGTCCCTCGGTGACAGTGGGGGCCCAGTCCTGCGAGGAGCCTTGCTGTCTGCGGGTCTGCATTTGTCCCTGGACACAGAGTCCTTTGATTTAGATGCCCTGACTCACCCCATGTACAGCGTCAACACCAGTGACCGAGTCACATATCCAGCCAGCTGCAGTGGCGCAGGCCTGCAATCCTAGCACTTGGGAGGCTGAGGCAGGACAGCCGCAAATTGGAGACCAACCTGAACTGTACAGCAAGATCCTGTCTCAAAACACAAAAACATCTACACACACTTGGAAGTAGGAGAGAAACCCTTGTTCCAGGAGCATGCCGAGAGGCGAGGGGGCGTCATGCTCCCTCGGGTAGGGGAGGCCTCTGCCCTGTTCGCTGATGGAACAGAAGGGGAAGACAGCGACAGCCCTCCCATGTAGGATGAGCCCAGGCAAGCCGGCAGCCGAGGAGGGGCTGTGCCTGGGGGCTTGGGGTCCGGCCCGCAGTTACCGAGCCCCTTCTTAGGGCGGGAGCGTGATGGCTTGTGCGGCAGCAGCTGGACACAGTTCTGCCCCAGACTGGGTGCTGTTGCCCCCTCGGCCACCGTTTTGCCCGGAAGCAGTGCGCAGTGTGCGGATGGGGCTGCAGGTGCTTGGAGTCTCAGGACAGTGCCGTTGCCTTCAGGGGACCAGACCCATCGTAGTCAGACCACTAGGTAGGGAACACGTGTTTATTTTATTCATTGCTTCATAGTTTTCCTTTTCCTTCCCTTTCCCGCCCTGCTGCCTTGTTTCCCTTCCCAAATCCCATCTCGGGCCTCACAGCACCGATAGGACATTTGCTCCTCGTGTGCACTTCCGGTGTGTCACACCAGAGAAGATGCGGTACTTACATGTGTGTCTGGTTTATCTCACTTAAGAGTATGGCCTCAAGGTGCCTCCATTTTCCTAGAAATGTCTCCAGTTTACTTTCTTTACGGCAGAGTAATACTCCACATCTTCATCCATTCACTAGCTGATGGGCACTTGGGTTGTTTCCAAGATTTAGCTATGACAAACTGCAGCTGTAAACATGGCTGCACATAGGCCACTGTGGTATGATGCTTCCAATTCTTCTGGGAAGATACCCAGGCGGGGAATGGCTGGGTGAAGTGGAGCCTCTGGTCCTTGTTTTTTTGGGTCATCTCCATGCTGATTTCCACAGTGGTTGCAGCAGTCTACACTCCCACCAGCAGGAACACAAGTTTAAACTAGTGGAAAACTGCAAAATACCCAGTCTTGTATTTTAAAACGTGAAAAAGTCCCAGTGTGGCCCTGGTGGCGTCTTCAGGACAGTGCTGTGCTTCAGGGGTGTCCACGCCACTCCGACACCCACCCCTGCTGGGGGACCTGAGAGGAAAGGGCCTGGTCAGCCTCCTCCCCACCGGCCTGGCGGGCCGCAGACTGCGGCCACGGCCCTGCATGGGCCACACTGGCCACGGGAATCCGTCTCCACCCTTTGTAGCAACAGGCAGTGATTTCTTTTCCTGAGACAAATCTCACTATGCAATTCAGGCCAGGCTTCAACTCCCTATGGAACCCAGGCTGGCCTTGAACTTAGGTTCCTCCTGCCTCTGCCTCCCACGTGCTGGGACTGCCACCACCCCGGCCAGCATAGGCAGGGATTTAAGAGCAGACCTGGGTCATGACAGACACAGCCATGCAGCAGACCAGGCGTGTAGAATGGAATGTACACTACAGAGAACCCTGAGCGTGCCCACGTTCGCCTCCGGGATGTCACTAGGTTACAAGCACCGGTAGCAGGACGGGGACACCGTCCTTTCCAGACTGAGGATCAAGTACACAGCAGTGTGGTGGGCGTAGGGCCAATCAGAGCCCTTCGGTCTCTGTCATGGAGCTGACCGTGGGTCCCCAGCCCGCCTTGTGCCGCAGGCCAGCGGAGGGCGCGGAGCTGGCTGCCCTGGGGCCACCCAGGACTCAACCTCCCTTCCCTGGCTCCCGCGCCTCCTGTCCCTACCTCCTGCAGGCCGTGGAAGCCTCGGAGATCGGCTGAGAGGACCATGGGCTGCCCGGGCATGAGCTGACCCTGTGGCGGTGGACAGTTGTTCACCTCAGATGGTTCCCAAACTCACGGCAAGGAGCAGAGGAAGCTGAGGCAGGGAGCTGCTGGGGCTGGTGCAGCCTCAGCTCGGGTACTGGCTGGCTGGGTGGTCTCAGTTTCCAGATTAGGGCACCGTTTCTAGCCCAGGCTCCCTGGCGCCCAGCAGCAGGCAGAGGTGAGGCCCGGGAGAGGGAGCAGCAGGGTCCTCTGTCCTCACCCTTGTTCCTGGATGGGCAGCTGCGGCCCAGCAGTTTCTTCGGTGGGCACCACGGGGGCGGAGTGAGGACTGGGCCTGGGCGTGGCAGGGTGGTGCTGAGGAATAAGGTCTCAACAACACACCAGCCACCACAGGAGCAGCCACAGCTGCGGGCCCCCAAGCAGGGTGCTGCACCGAGGCAGAGAGGGGGCTTAGGGAGGATCCAAGGATGCGGCACAAAGTGACAGCCAGGAGGGTGCAGCCGGAGGCAGGGTCTGTCTGGAAGAATCAGCACAGGCGTCTTGGGGTAATGGCTGGCCAGGGTTTTGAAGCAGGGGTAGGAGTCAGCAAGAGGCCAAGGAAAGAACTGACAGTAAACAGCACAACAGAGACAGCTTGGTGGTGCAGGGTGAGCAACACCGGGGCACGGGCTGTGACCAGGGAGAGCGGAGAGGAGGTGGCGGCATGGCTGGGCCCAGCCCCGGAGGCGGCTCTTCTGGGCTCGTGGTAGGTGCGGCCGAGGCTGCCCTGCAGGGTGCAGGGCCCTCGTTGACTTCCTGCCGCACCTCACTTCCTCTTCAGTGGGTGGCCAAGAAGCGACCCTGTGGCAGGGTGGGCAGTGGGGAGTACCCATCTGCCCTGTGTGGGGTGTGGCGAGGCTGGGGGGACACCGCATGACCCAGGCAGGGCGGCCCGGGCTGTGTCCCCGCAGGAGGGGCCGCCCTGCTTCTCTGTGACTTCCCAACTGGAACTTGGGGTCACCGAGCTCCAGCTCCAGGACCCGGCAGGGCACAGACAGGACCCTCCCGTCGGGTCCTGGGGTCAGGAGGCTGCGGCCCCGCAGAGGGCTCAGCCATCCGAGTCGCAGCAGCCACCCCGGGTCCTCCGGGCCGGGCCGGACCTTGCAGTAGCCAGTGTCCAGCAGGCCGCGCCAGGGTCACCCGCTCTGGCGGAATCCGCCTGGCCCAGCCATCCTCCATGGGTGCTGAGCTCCGTGGGGCCTGGAGACAGCTGGCGGCTCTCCCCCGGATGCAGCCGTACCGTCCCTGGTCAGTGGGCTTCTGCCCTGTCCCCCGCCAGCGACCCCACGCCCACAGGCTCCTGGCTCCCAAAGCCCAGGGAGGAACCCCACCGGCTTCACCCGCCCCATGTCACAGGCTGGGAGCTGCTGTAGAGGTCACCGTGGGAGCACAGCGTGGGGGACACGGGGACACGGGGACACGGGGACACGGGGGGAGGGCCAGGGCCCTTCACTTCTCCAGAAAAACGCCTTGGCGCCTGCTCACGCAGAACTCCTCTTCTGGGTTATTTTGGTGACCCTAGAGAGTGCGGCTACTGTCTTGTTTCGTACTAACTGTCCTCAGGGAGGGCTGGGAAAGAGGCCGCCGCGGCAGGCACCGGCCACAGGGCGGGACGGGAAGGGGGGCGCCACGGGGCCGAGGAGGCAGGGCTCCCGCTGGATCGTCACGGCTGCCGTGAGTGTGTGCAGGACGCGCGGTGCACAGGGCCTCGGGGAGGGGTCTGGAGGGGCTGAGGTGCTGAGGCAGGACTGTGCCCTGCACCCGGACACATCTGGGGGCGGGGGTCGTGCTTGTCCTGGAGAGCGGTCTGTGTCCACCCCCTGCACTCTGGGGCTGGAACTGGGCAGCGGGAAGACCCTCAGAGTCGCCCTCGGCCACTGTGAGTGGCCGCCAGGGTCCGGTGCCTGTGTAGCCCGGTCCTGGGCACAGGCTGGGGGCTGCAGGCTGTGTCTTGGCAGTTCAGCCCCCGCTTCCCCATTGCTGGGGGTCAGGACACCCCATGCTCCGGCAAGAACTCTGGCCCATCACGGTCCCCAACAGCAGCGTCAGTATGAGCTCATGGCGCCTGGGACCCCCGGGTCGGTGCCCACACAGATGCTGGGTCCCTCCCTGCTTTCCCGAGCATCTGTCCGGGCCTTGCGGGAGGGGGTCCCTACTGCGCAGAGCAGCAGGAAGAGGTTGGGATGACTGGCTGCAATCTTCTCTTGTCCCAGGCTTTGAGCCTGTTATGGTTTGTGTCTGGATGTCCCCCCAAAGCCTCGTGGGGTCATGGGGTGGGCTTCTAGAGTTTGTGATTGATCCGTGGCCCAATGCTGGGATTATGGGTGTGAGAGCTGCACCCGCCCTGGGGTAGGGATAGGTCGCCTGCACACAGTGTAAGGGAGGGAAAGCGCCTCCTCTCTGCTGTGGCTCCTCCCGTTTTGTCCTGTTGTTTTTGCTGTGTTCCACTGCCACGAACTGTTGCCCTCTGCCATGTGCCACCCTGCCTTGGAGCCAGCTGAGTATGGACTGAAACCTCCACAAACTGGTAGCTAAATAAACCTTTCTTTCCATAACTTTGGGTGTTGGGTATTTTGTCTCAGAAACAAGAGAAACGTAACTAAGACAGAGCCCATTTTAAATAGAACTGGCCAGCTCTCACCCTAGCACCCTTCTTCATTTTTCCTGTGTTGGAGAGGAAGCTGACTTTGCTCTTCCTTTTTTTAATTAAATTTTTTTTTTTTTTTGGCTTTTCTCCGGTACCAGGAACCGAACTCACGACATTGCGCTTGCCAGGCAGGCGCTTTGCTGCTGAGCTAAATCCCCAGCCCCTTAAATTTCTTTTTCTTTCCGTACTGGGGATCGAGTCCTGGTAGCACTGAGCCACACCTCCAGCCCTTTTTATTTTGAGGCCAGGTCTCAGTCGCCCGGGCTGGCCTTGAATGTGCAGTCCTCCTGTCTCCGCTTCTTAGATTGCTGGGATTACAGATGGGCAGCACCACACCCAGCAAGAAGCTGACTCTTAGAAGCCCAGCTGCATCGTGTGACCCATGTCACTGAGGCGCACAGCCCCTGAGGGTAGATGCCCACCCTGCTTCCTCCGGGGTCTTGGGACAGGAGGACGGGGACCTTGGTGGGGTGGATCGGCCGTGGACACGGGACCGGCGCCTTCCTCCACCTGCCCTGTGTCACGCAGCTGCATGGCGCACGTGATTCAGGCCCCGCACGCGGTGGTGTCCCTGTGCGCAGCTGTCTCCCGGCTGCAGCCTCCTCCTGGCGGGAGGGCCTGAGTCTCCCTGCACAGCTGGGACAGCTCTCCCTCACTGCCCCGCCCATGTGGCACAAGTGCACACACACACACACACACACACACACTCGCGCGCGCTCCAGCTGAGCGTTTCCTCCACTGCTCACTGTCCGCTCCGCCTGTTCGAGCCACGCGTCTCTCTGCTGCCGCTGCCACGGAGCTGCCTGTCTCTGGGGCTGGAGTCCAGGTGAGGGGCCGTGGCCAGGACCCCGGAGAGGGCACAGCTTGCCAGGGTGGCGTGGGGGCGGGGACGAAGGGCAGTGCTCACGGGAGTGGGGGCAGACGCGTTCTCCGGCACTCGCTGGGTGCCTGGCACAGGGGCGAGTGTCCCACCCTGCTTTGATGTGCGTGGGTGGCAGGGGTCCCAGCAGCAGCTCGGACCAGGAGCTGGGACGCAGCCCGGGCCAGGCTCCAGAGCCTGGTCCTCCTGCTGTCCCCTGCTCTCGCCAAGGTGGGGCGCGGGCAGTGACTCCCACGGGCAGGGCGCTGGGGACAGTCACCCTCACAGACGCCTGGTGGGCGGCCCCCGGCGTGCAGCGTGACTGTGCGCTCCGAGATCCCCTCAGGATCAGCACCACCTGGGAGGAGCGGACAGAGCTTGTCTGCGGTCCGGCCCCAGGGCTGCAGCGGAGGACGGTGGGGCAGTGCCTCTCCGACCCTCAGCATGCTCCCCGAGGAGAGGATGGGGCTCTCAAGCCCTGACGCTCAGGCAGCAGGAGCCCCTGGGGAGCAGCCCCCTTGCCGACCCCAGCTTGAGGGACTGTGTGTGGGCAGTGGCACGCGGCTGCTCCGGATCCTTCCCCAGGATGGTTCCCGGGAGGGTAGGCTTGGCCAGTCTGGGCAGCCCTGATTCTGAAGGGCCCCTCCCCGTCCTCGTCACCTCTGCTCCAGAGTGGGGTGCAGGTGAAGCCGACTGGGGCTGCCCTTGGTCGTGGTGCAGGGGCTCCTGCCCCGTGTGTAATGGGCTGCGGACGTCCCGGTGTCTTCCCCCAGTGCCAGGAGCAAGGGCCGCTATGCAGAGGACCTGCAGAGGCTCCGCCTGCCGTGTGCCCAGCACCACCTGAGCCTGTGCCTGCGTCTGCCGAGCCCCGGCTGCCAGGCAGATCCCCGTGCCCAGTCCTCCACGCAGCTCTGTGCCCCTGGCTGCTGGCAGCTCCAGCTCCAGGTGACGCCCAACCAATTCCAGCCCGAGCAGGAGTGAGTGCAGGAAGGGTAGCGTGGCTCTCCTGCCCTGCCGCCTGCCAGGGAGGCGCCCCCGGTCCCGCCCTGGAGCCCCAGAGCCCGAGTTCCTCCTGCCCTTATCTCGTTTCCGCTCCTGCTATCGGGGGGCTGTGTGGTCGGCACACCGGCAGCCGGCCCTGCGGGGACACAGCTGCTGGCGTGCTGCGGACAGGGCGGCGGGACCGGGGCTGGACCCCTCCGGCCCTGTGCACTCAGGCGATGCCCGGCTCTGTGCTCGGCGCACTGGGAGGTGGGCCCCATACGGCCCTCCTGTGGGTCAGCCCATTAATGAATCCCCAGTGCCCCTGCGCCAGGGCTCCCATGCGGGGCACCTGGGCTGCAGAGGCAGAGCCCGCCCAGGGCTTTGGGCGCCTTGTGGTCCCCGCTGTGGTCTCACGGCCAGGCTCAGGGCCTTCCTTCGTCCGCAGGCCCTGCCATGGCCAACGCCACCCTGCCGCCGCTGTGCCCCATCCTGGAGCAGATGAGCCAGCTGCGGAGCCACCGCAACTCCAGCCTGCGCTACATGGACCACGCCTCCGTGCTGCTGCACGGTCTGGCGGCGCTGCTGGGCCTGGCCGAGAACGGCCTCATCGTCTTCGTGGTGGGCTGCCGCATGCGCCAGACCGTGGTCACCACCTGGGCGCTGCACCTGGCGCTGTCCGACCTGCTGGCCTCGGCCTCGCTGCCCTTCTTCACCTACTTCCTGGCCGTGGGGCACTCGTGGGAGCTGGGCACGGCCTTCTGCAAGCTGCACTCGTCCGTGTTCTTCCTGAACATGTTCGCCAGCGGCTTCCTGCTCAGCGCCATCAGCCTGGACCGCTGCGTGCGCGTCGTGCGCCCGGTGTGGGCGCAGAACCACCGCTCGGTGGCCGCGGCGCGCAGGGTGTGCGCGGCGCTGTGGGCGCTGGCGCTGCTCAACACGGTGCCCTACTTCGTGTTCCGCGACACCATCCCGCGGCGCGACGGCCGCACCATGTGCTACTACAACGTGCTGCTGCTGGCGCCGGGCGGCGACCGCAACGCCACCTGCGGCGCGCGGCAGACGGCGCTGGCGGCCAGCAAGTTCCTGCTGGCCTTCGTGCTGCCGCTGGGCGTCATCGCCGCCAGCCACGCG